GGCCGCGCTGCCCGAGAGGAGGCGGCCGGGCGGCGGCCGGCCCCGCTATGAGGTGGTGAGGGAGCTGGGCGCCGAGGAGGTGCGCTGGTTCTACCGGGAGGACCGGAAAACCTGGAAGCCTTTCATCGGCTACGACTCGCTGAGGATCGAGCTGGCCTACCGCGCCCTCGGAGCAGGCGGCCCGGCCGAGACGCGGGAGGGCGAGGCGGCGGCGGTGGAACCGGTGTGCGTACGGAGCGGGCTCTACGAGGTGGACGTGGCCAACGCGGAGAGCTACCCCGTCTACTGGAACCGTGAGTGGCCGCCGTCCCTCCCGTGGGGACCGGGGCCGGGGCGGGGGGGTGCCCCTTCCACTCCCACGGGGACCGGGGGATGCCGGTGTCCTCGCACCGAGACCGTGGGGGGCAGCCGGGGGGGCTGGCTGGGCTGCCTCCCGCTCTCCCCAGCAAAGGATGCTGGGCATCCCCTGGCTTCCCCCCCCTCCTTGCCGTGGGGACACCGGCTAGCCCTTAGTGCCCCTCTAGCGCACCCCCATAGGTAAACGGGGGTCTGAGCCCCCCCCCCCCCATCACACCAACCCGGCCAAGGGGAGTGGGCACCGCTTGCTGCCCGTGTGCGCTTTGGGATAAGGGATACAGGACAAAACGTTCTCTAGGGAGAGGGGACCCTGGGTGCCCACCTCTAACACACACCTGAGTGAGGAAGGAGTGGGAATTTCCCTTCCGAGTCTCGGAGGCACCTGTGGGGGGGCTGGGAAACTAGGCACTGGGCATCCCACCCTCCCAGGCACACTCCTAAGGGAAGCAGTGTGGGCATCCCTCAGCATGCACTTGCAAGAGGGGGCACTGGACATCCCCCCTGGTGGATGAGAGGCACTGGGTACCCCTCACTCCCCATGCAGGGTCATGGGGGAAGGATGTACTGTGCACCCCTTCAGCCACTTCCAGCTGTAAAGGGAACTGGGCATCTCTCCCTCTCTCGCCTCCCTGTGCACATGCACCTGAAGGAGATGGGGATCTGGGCATTCACACCTGGCATAGAGACAGGTGTCTTCTCTTTTCTTGACATGTGCAGAAGAAAGTGGGAGGGAAGGTGACTGAGAACCCTCTTGTTTATGCTTCTCTTTTCCTAAACAAACAGTGAGTGAGGGTGGGTATTCGCCTTCAACACTCCCCTGCCTTCCCTCGATGTGCACACCTTTCTTTCAGAAGGAGTAGGGTAGAAACAGCAACTGTTTGTCCTCCCCACCGCACACACAGTTCTGATTCCTCGTCTTTAGTGCGTTATCTTTAGTAGAGGCCTGATACCCGGCTTCCCCTCTGCTACCCTTGTCCTCTCCACTAGGAAAATTATTATATTGTGCTTCATCTTCCCTTCCGCATCACCACTGGGAGGGGGCATGAAATGGGACTTGTCCTCCTTTCTATTGGAGGGGATGCAACAGGCATCTGTGGTACATGCACAGTCCTTACTTCTTACCCTTCCAATAGAGGGGAATTTGCTTCGCCCTCTCAACTTCAAAAGAGATGGTGATGCATCCCCTCTCCCACCCTTCCCCTTGCATTCATGTGTCCTTTGCTGGAGGAGAGGGGACCTTTGGGAACAGAGATGAAAGAAGAGCAGACACCTCAGCTCTTCTGCCCCTTCCTTTGGAGGGAAAGTCTCCCAGGGTCTTGCTGGACAAGTATCTGCTCTCCTGGAGTAGACGAGCTGTGCCACTGCTCACCCTCTATCCCTGAGGACTTGCTTTCCAACTGGATTCCTTCAAGGACAAAGGGAAATGTTAGAAAGTAGAGTGAGAGATGCAGAATCGCTGAGTAATAGACACTGTCCTGGAATGGACTTGGGAGAGGGGCAGGCGGGTTTCTTGTCTCCTCTGCGTTATTTTTGAGACTCGTGTGGGAAACACAAAGGAACAGCAGAACCGTTTCAGCTATGAAAACTAGAGCTTTTGGTTGTTTACTCTCTTCTTTATCAGTGTCTTTACGGGAGGGAGATTCATAAATGACAATACCACATGGTACAATCCACTTGTGGTGTGACAGTTTGTCTTTCAAATCATTGCCCCAACAGGCAGATGCTGCGCGCGAGGAGCGAGCAGAGGTCTTGGTCCACACGTGTTTTGAATTAGAGGCGCCTGGGCCCAGCTCCTTGAGCAGAAGGTGGAGGTGGTTCTCCCCGTCACCACCCTGAAGCCCCTGCTGTTGGTACTTGATGCATCTGCCACGTGGTTACTGGAAAGAGATGATGCAGGTCATCCAAGGGATAAGGAAACTGCTGCCATCCCTTTTGTAACTGTGCCATGGGGAGAGGAGAGTGAGTGAGCAGAGCCGTCAGGTGAGGCAGGATTGCTCTCGTTAATGGGAGCATGAGGCTGTACTCAGCAGCTTAGAGGTTTAATTTCTTGACCCTGTGCCTTGTCCATTTTGGAAGCTGATTCAGTCTCATTAAGCCTGAGGCACAGATGTTTCAAATGACAGCATATGCTGTGCAGAGACGATTTCTGATGCTTGGAAGGAGAGGTTCCCAGAGGTTAGCCCCAGAAGCAATGCTAAGCAGGGGAGAAATAAACTCATGGTCCTGAGAGCACTAACGACAGGGATGTTTTCTAGTCCTCGGAAAGCTGATTAAGGAGAGTGCTCAAGTCTTTTCTTATTAGCAAGTCCACTCCTTTGCAAGACTAAGATAAAGTTTTGGTGTTTCTAGAGTCTGTCAGTGTCTTCTGGTCTAATTCCTCCTTCACTTGCACGTTTCCTCCCCTCTGTTCCCTGTGTATGTGAGCGCTTTTGCCTTACTCCCATTCTTTCCTCCCAACTGCTGCATCCAGACCTGAGAAAGCAGCAAGGTCAGATCCCAAGTATTCATTCTCATCTGTGCTTTTGAAGGCCTTGGTGTAGCTGTTATTGCCAAATTATTCCCATTTGATAGTGTGCATGTAATTTTGGATCCAAAGGGTAGCTACTACATTGGTCTGCCATAGCATAGGAGGGAGCTGGTGGTGGCAGACCATATCTCATACGAGCGAAGCCCATGAGTAAGGGAGGAGAATCTCACTCTCTGATCCTACGAGCGTGAAGTTTAATGAGTACAACTGACTTGAATATTCTCAGGTGCACATTAAAGAGTACAGAAACTGCTATCTATGGTTTTGCTGATTCACATTTTTGGTTCAGAGCAAAGGTCAAAAGCTTTTATCTTTGTTGTTCTTGCCCATTTTGTTCTTTTTCACGTATGAGCCGTGCTTTAGGCAAGGCTGCTATCTCACAGCTACAGTACTGAACGCACTGACAGTTCTTCAGCTGTTGTGGCATCTTAATGTCAAGGAAATGTTGGTTATAGCTTGGCATGTGCTGAAATATTTTTTCACTCCACATCTTCAGACATCTTAAGCTCATCACAGGATTCATTTGTAACATCAGGAATATCAGACTGAGTTACAATTTGAGCAGATTAATTACTGAGAATTTTATCCTTACCTTGCGACCTCTGGGATTTATTTAATTAGTACTGTAGAATTAGCAAAGATGGCGCAAGAGGACAAAAATTATTAGTGTAGGCTTCCAGATAAGTAAGTAACTTGGAGTTGGGCTGTTTCTTGTCTTCCGTGGACATAACAACAAGTGATATTTTATACAGGAGTCTTCTGTTTGAATCTTCTTAGGTTATCCAGCCCTTTTCTGCCCTCCCAGTTGAAGAGGCCTGCTTTACAACCATTTTTCTATAGAGTTACTCAGTCTAGTTTTCGAAGTCCTGGGTGAGTCTGTTAAATCTGCAGCCTGTGGACCTCTGGGTGACTCCCTCCTGTTCCTTGGCTTGTGAGTTTGTCCCTTGTGACTATTGCCCTGTCTGGTATTTGCTTTTCCCTTGCTTTTTGATGGTTACGTTGTCAAGTTGCCTGTTTGGTTCTTGCAGACAGTGTTTTCTTATAACACTTTTACTCTCTAGGTAGTTGTCTTCATCCCAGCATGTTCTCCAGTTTCAATTCTGACTGTGTGTTGGGGACACTCATCACCTCAGCTGACATCTGTCTTGCAATAGTAGTTTTTAAAATTGAAGTGGGACTTTTGTGAAATACCATGGTGGTATGTGAAGAGGAGCAACAACAAAAATGTGTGTTTCTACAGCCATTTGGGAAGTATGTGGAGCATTGTCTTGTAGGGGAGGATAAAATACTCCACTTCTGCACACAGGTTTGATAAGGGATCTTTTGTTTGTTTTTTAACCTGTATGTTTTTGTACCTAGTAGTTGCAGAAGTCTATTAAGTAAAATACCTCTTGTTGTATTTAAAAAAAAATTGTTCACTAGGCCCGTCTCCGAGTGAAGATGTAAGAGTAATTTCTGCTGTACTGATGTAACAGATACTTTACTGACCTTAGCCTGGAAATACCTGTGAATACAGGGTGGACCACTGGGTCTTAAGTTTAAATTTTGCATGCTCAGGCTGGAATTGGGCATGTTTTAAAAACTATTTCAGCTGCCTTTAAGCTTGGACTGAAAGAAATATCCAAGACCCTATTTTTTTTTTTTGTAAGCTCTCTGTGAGCTGCTTTGTAAACTGGAAGAAGAGGCAGCAGTCATTAGCACCTTGTGAAAAGCCTCTGCAGGTTGCGCTTTTGCAAAATGAGACGTGAATGCCAGGGCAGTGTTATCTGCCCTCTGAACTTAGTCTGTCAAGATTACTGAGAAGTCTTGGAATGTAGTAGCTGATGCTTTGCACCAGATGATTACAAAAGGCTATTTTCTTAGAGGATTTTTTTTATCGTGTGCTTGATTTGATGTAGGAGGTAGATGTTAGCAGCAAGATACGAAGCCTTTTGTACCTCAGCCACTGGTGGTTCTTCAGACTGCACTGTCAAGACTAAAAATCAACATTTCAGAACTGTAAGGTGCTTCTCTGCTGTCTGCTTTGTGCAGGAGTGTTGGCTGCTTGTGCCTTCCCTAGAGCTGGCAGCATAAATTTTTATGTTGACGTTTTACAGACTGGCAACCCTAAACCTGTCTTGAGGCTCTGCTAGATCTCTTGCCTGGCTGCTTTAATCAATGTCTGATATTTCTTCTGAGGCTGCATGTTCACTTTATGGGTTTTGTTTTGTACTGTGAAACAGAAATAGTATTAAAACAGATTCATGAGGCAAGATGAAAATTAAGGGTTTGGAATCAAGAGTTTATCAGTATGTTTGTGGCTTGCATTTGTTTTAGTCTGCTCTTAGCAGCAGAACACATTTTTAGTTGCTTTACAGCGTGCTTAGAACATTGCTTTTGGTGTGTTGGACAGTCTTTGAACCTGGTTGA